TTTTTTTAAGGAAAGAACAAAGAAAAGCACACGGGTCCTCAGACTCCCAGCCACAGGGTGGGGATATGGCACACCCGGCAGCCCCGGCTGTCACCTCGGTCCCTGGTCGTGGGGGTTTCCTGGGACACGAAACCCCATGTTACAATATTACCCGGACCTTTTCTGCAGTGCACTGCCCAATGAGACATTACTCAGGCTTAGAGCACACTTGGCCACAGAGATTTCCCCAAACCCGGGGCTCTGTGTGATGGGTGGGGTGGGTGCACCAGGACACATGTGGTGAGTTGTCCCTGCCACTGCCGGTAGCAAGAACTCCGTGCTTCACAAAGTACTCGAAAGAAGTACTCCACCGGTCAGCAGGTGGAGGGAGCCTGGCCATGTAGGTGAGCAGGCACAGGCAGTCCGCCGCCTGCCACAGGCATGGGGACCCCAGGAGACCCCTGTCGGCTGATATCATTCTAGTGGAGAAAGGCTTGGCCATCCACTCCAGGGAAAATTACAGCCTCACAAACTCTATGGGACAGTCCCTCCCTGTCACATGGAAGTCCCAGGAGTCCGAATCAATTCAATGGCACTCAACCATGGGCTGACGGCCAAGAGTCTCTGATTCTTATCCTAACGGGAGCTCCCAGCTATCTTTTCAGCTCCTGACTCTCATAAAATGACAAAACCAGCCACCCACAAGTGGATTTTTTTCCCTTTCTCCTTTTGGAGCTAGGTTACAATATTTTAAATATGTGTGTGTGTGTGTGTGTGTGTGTGTGCGCGTTTCAGCTTTTGATTGTGAAAGTTGACAGAGCAAATCCCTCTTCCATTCAATAATCGCACATCCACCATCAAGCTGACTGACTCCTGACAAGCTGCATGTCGGAGAAGAAGTGTTCTCTGTGGGGTTTTTTGGATGTAGATGCCCTGGACTCTCTGCCAAGTCTCTCACCTCTCAGTCAGCACCCACGCTCATGTGTGCACCCCCCAGGGACTCCCAGCGTGGGAACCAAGCAAGCAAGCTCCCTGTGAGGGAGTTCACTGACCCACAGCAAACTACAACCCAACCGCACTGCCATCGAGTCCATGCCCCGCCCTTAGAGGGCAGCACATAAATGCCCCGTGAGTTTCCAGGACTGTAACTCTTTACTGGAGTAGAAAGCCTCATCTTTGTCCCCCGAGTGGCTGGTGGTTGGACTGCGACTGTGCAGGTAGCAGTCCTTCATGTAACACACTGTGTCACTCGGGTTCCCACGGGGTTTCCAAGGCTTTGTAAATCCTTCTGGGAGCAGACAACCTCATATTTCTCCTGAGAAGCAACTGGTGGGTTTCAACCCCCAACCTGTGGTCAACAGTCCAACACTTAGCCAGCAAAGCCATCAGGGCTCATAAAGAGGTGGGCAGAACAAAGCCAAAGCGAAGAGCATAATAGCAGACAGTTAGGAAGGGATCTGAGCTGTTTTCTCGTCCTGCTTCCTTTTAACGGAGACTAAAGTTGTTATAAGGTTCTAAACTTTGATCCAGCTTAGGTTAAAATTGTAATGGAACGACACACCTCAAGTCTAATGGCATTTTGTGAGAAACTGAGGGAAGCAAGGGCATTTGGAAATGCAAAGCCATTTTCCTTCTTAACATCGTTTCCAGAAACCTGAGCTAATGAAGCACTTACTCTGTATTTCCGCGCTACTAGTGAGTTTCTAAGCAAGTCTACTAAGAAGGGCAAAATGTTAGCCTGTGAAATGTAGAAGTTTGTTTAATTGTGATCTTTGAGCTAGTAGCCCCTGCCTTATGACATATTCTAGGTATAACAAACTGCACAGTCCAGGTTTGTTTTAATTTGGTTTTGGGTTATATAACACGTGTATAACAGAAGCAGAAAGCACCAATGTTGAAGTATTACATTTATAATAAAGTTTACAGCCCCAGAGACAACTAAAGATTGGATTTATAGAGACACCGATAATAAAAGGCAATCATACAATGACACACTGGACAAGAGACTAATCTCTAAATTCTGTAAAAAATTTCAATATCTCTACAAGAAAATAAAGAGCCCAATCTAAAAGCGGGCCGAGGACATGGGCAGGCATTTTGTCAGAGAAGCCACCTGACCTGCAAACAAACACATGAAGAAATGTGCATGGTCACAGGCCCTCCGGGAAATGCACACCACAGCCACTCGAGACACCGGCTTGGCCCAGAATCGATAACAAAGCACAACCCACCATGCTGGGAGGTGGTCCGGCACTGCCTTCAACAGGGGGAATAGCAATGCCATACGCCCCAGCAGCAACAGTGCTTCCTGGATACATCCTACAGCAATAAAGAACCCGGCACAAACAGTAAGCAGCCCATGTCCACGGCAGCACTGTCCACCACAACTGCCGACCAGTGGAAGAACGGACAGACAAACCATGGAGCAAGCACACCACAGCAGGCTATGCATCGTTCACGAACAGTGATGTGGCTGTGAACCGCCCCTCGACACGAAGGGATTTGGAGGACATTACGATGCAGGAGCACTGGTGGCGGAGTGGTTATGCACTGGGCTGCTAACTGCAAGGTCAGAAGTCCCAACCAACAGTCACTCCGCAGGAGGAGACAGGGCTTTCTCCTCCCGCAAAGAGGGACGGTCTCCGAACTTGCAGGGGAGATTCTACTCTGTCCCACAGGGTCGCTATGAGTTGGCATCAACTCAATGGCAGTGAGCGTATGCTGAGTGAATTAGCCAAAAACAAAAGGACAAATATTATATGAACCCACTGTGATTATTATTTTTTATCAATAAAATGTTTCATGCCAAAACCAACAGACTTCGTTACCGAGGGAATAATTGCCTGGTTTAAAATCAGGAGAGGTGTGCATCAGGGTTGGATCCTCTCACCATTCTTGTTCAATCAAAGCTGAGCACATCCTCAGAGAAGCCGGACTACATGAAGAACAGCGCGGCGCCAGGATCGGAGGAAGGCTTAGTCACGGCCTGTGAGATGCAGCCGACACAACGTGGCTGGCTGTGAGGAGGACGGGAAGCACTTGCTGATGAAGCTCATGGGCCGCAGTCTGCAATACATCTCAATGTCAAGACGACTCACAACTGGACCATAGGTAGCATGATAAAGGGAGAAAAGAGGGAAGTTGTCAAGGACTTTGTCTTGCTTGGATCCACAATCACTCCAAAGATGTACTGCATTAAATCAATCTGCTGCACAAGACCTTGTTAGACTATTGAAAATGGACACTGAATAAAAACGACTGAAGAAAAAACGATGCATTTAATTGAGGTGCTGGAGAAGAATACTGAAAGTACCATGGACTGCTGAAAGGACAAACAAACCTATCGTGGAAGAAGAATGACCAGAGAGTGTTCCTTAGAGGCAAGGATGGTGAGACTTCATCGTACACAGTCCGGACCTGTTGTCAGGAGACCAGTCCCTGGAGAAGGACATCATGTTTCGTAGCGGGTGGCGACAAAGGGAAAGGTCCTCAAGGAGATGGTCTGACCCAGTGGGTGCAGCCATGGGCTCGAGCACAGGCAAAATTATGTGGATGGCACCGGCCCGGGCAGGGCTTCATGCTCTCGTGCGTAAGTCACAATGGCACCTCACAGCAACAGGGCGGAGGGGAGAGGGGAAAGGGGACGCAGCAGCCTGGGGGACAGGAAAGAGCATGCCCTACACAAGTACAATAGAGAAACAAGTGTGTGTTTGGGGCGGAGGGGAGGCCGGGCAAGCCGATGGAAGGTTTGATACGTTGTTTAAGTTGCTGAATGCAAACAATGATCAGATAAGCAAAGCCCACCAGGTTCCCAATGAAAAGTTTGGGGGGGAAGACTGGAAATACTTATGGACACTAAAACAAAGAGGTATTTGATTTATGTCAGAACCGACTGACAACATACGATGGGGCTTCACAACACGTGTAGAAAAATCACAGGATCCTTTCACTGCATCTCCCCACACACCTTTTGAAGCTCCTTTGCATCGATTCCATCAGGGGGGTGGGGAGAAGCTCCAAAGCTTCTTGGAAAAATGAAGGAAAAAAAAGCCTGGAATTTTCCCACTAACATCTGAAGTCCCCTTGTAAGTCTGAGCCCACTTGTATTGGCTGCTATATCCTTGGGTGGCGTGATGGGTTAATGCAGTCTCCCAGTAACCTCTAACCTTCCACCATGAATCCAAGGTCAGAGTCACGGTGGAGGAAGGCTGGAGAGAGAGCTGTCTGAAAAACACCAACATCATGGGCCACAGTCCACGTTCAGCCAACGGGCATAAGTGGTGGTGTGTTACAGGACGTCGTGGCGGGCATGTGTCAGAGACGATGCTGACAAAGTTCTCTAATGGACTCTGTTGGTTATGAAAGGCTAACTGCTCACAAACTT